TTTTTCCCATATACTTATGTAAATATATAAAGTTGAGTTATTTTCAAAGCTCTTATTTTCTTCTCGTCCTTATAGTTTTAAATAATTAATTATTACTGAAAACTGGTGTAGGATATTTTTATATATGTAAATATGTAAATATGTACATATTAGGCATTAGTTATATTATTATTTATTTAAATATTTGCTGTCCACAGCTTTATTATATGTGAATGTGATATTTTGTTTATAAAATTTTAAGTTTTTCTTATATGATGAATTTTGTATATTTTATATTATTTGTGAATTTTGGAAATAATTGTGATTTTATTTTGTACCTATAAGGGTGATATAGGCCTACGGGGAACCGAGCACCCAAAACTAACTTCGGTAACTCGCCTTTTTTATACCTCAGTGTGGTGTGGAAATTACAAATTCCCAAAAAATGTAATAAAAATTCCCTAACTTATTTCTTTCCACAGTGGCACCATTGTCAAATGTTATAAAAAATGTGGACTTTTAAGCGCTCTCGACTCAAAGAGTTTCGGATCATATTATCCATGCCTTTATAGTTCCGGTCGTTTAACTTGTCCTTCGCCTAGTTTTTGCAATATGGCTGAATATGTTTATTTATTAATAAATTGTTTGACATTTCTTATAGTAGCAATTTGAAGTTTAAAAGAAAATGCATTTGCATATTTTAGCGGCTACTTATATTTAAAATATTTAAAACACACTTGCTCCAACTCTTACCCTACTTAGGAGACGAAATTTCTTAGAATATCTCTTTACGCAGGAAAGGCAAGTGACAGGTGCAATTTGATTAAGCCGCCACAGGGATTTGTAGATTATTTGAAAGCAGTAGAAGCAATTTTTGTTAGAGAATTGGATTCCACTTGTCACAGAATAGGTGTAGGGCAATTATTGTTCGACAAAATGAAGAATGTCAGCCCATATAAATGTTGCGATAATAGCAACAGTAATGCTATTCTAGCGTTATATATTAGATACGTATATTTTTCACTTAAGTTTTCAATAGGACCTAAATACTCCTCACTTTAGGGCAAAAAATTATGTGTTTCGCATATGTAGGTTTTTGGGACAAAATTGCTTCAAAATTAATATATAGATATATAATTTTCGAGACCATTTCTTGTGTCCTATTTCTTCTTTGCCTTCTTTCTTTTTTTTACGAGTATATTCAAAACTGGGTTCTGGCAAATTTTGGCATTTTATATATTACTATTGTCTATATATATATATGTATGTATATATATATATAAATATTATACTAAGCTATAGCTTTTAAGTATTTTAGTAATATTTAATTTTGTTTACTTATTTTTTTATATAAATGGGAAATGTTTGTATTTTAGACGTTACAATTTTTAATTCACTTAATAAATGTGTCGGGTGAACCCGCCCATTAGTGCATGATCGGTATATCGTTTTGGAAGGAATTTATAATAAGTTTTGGTGTCTTTGGGATGAAATTAACATTACATATAATTTTAATAATAGACGCCCTGATGCTTTAGATTGCTTACATAGTGATTTAAATTTGGAAACTGATTTATGTATGTCAACGATTTGGAAAGGGAAGTTGCAAAAAATATGTTCCGATGAAAAGAAACAAACATTACGTTTTAAATGATACAAAACTGTTTATATGCAAATTACAATAGTCCTACGATCAAATTGCTTTTACCAAAGTAAATGTTTTAGTGTGCATCTAATTGTTTTCAAAGCTAATATGTGGCGAGTATTATAGTACTCACACCCAACAAAAGTTAGAATCATGGGCAATTTCTTCATTTGCAACACCTCTATTTGCATTCATTGAAAGAATTTAAATATCTAACCTAATAATATAAATATTTTGTTTAAATAAAAACAGGATTTTTTCTGTGCCAAATATTATATGTCTTATTTCGTTAGATTTTTATACATTTCCTTATATGTACTTATCTATATTGCATTTTCGACACCACCATGAGGTATGCAATTAGGCGCGTTACTGATTTTTTTGGGTGTTCGGTACCCCAGGAGGCCTATTTTCACCCATATACCGTAAAACTAAATAACAAAATTATATATAATTAATAAATAAAAATAAAACAAAAACATTCAAAAAATTCATATTACAACAATACTTACATTTATAAATATATATATTTCATGTGCATGCATTGCCAACAGTGGAGATCTAACAAAAAAAAATGAGAAAATACTTTTTATTCAAATTATAGAAAATAATACTGACCCGTTGATCCAAAATAAGTTGTTCGGAAATGTTTCTATAAAAAAAAACATAAAATTATTATATTGTTCCTAATTCAAATGTGTTGCCAGTATTGCTATTGAGTTAATTACTATTAATTTTAAATTACTTTTTAAAAAAGAAATATATCTACAATAAAGATATTGCAACTTCAACAAATAATTTATTTTCGAAGTCTATATATTTTAAAACTAAACTAAGAACTATATAATAATATAGTAATTTTTTATGTCAAGAGCTGTAATAAAATAGTGTCCACCACCACTAAATGCTGAAAAAATATAATTAAATATTAATAAATGAAATTATAAAACGTAAATAAAATTTGTGATTAAATAAATCTATACTTAAATAAGAGAAAAAATCGGCACATTAACGATTTTTTTGATATAAGTACAATGATAAATTTCACTTTATTGTTTAAAGGAATTATTATCACTTTTATGACAATGACAAGTTTTGCTTTTTTGATTATATACATTATTATTACTTATAATATCAAATTCTGTTACAATAGTTATTTCTTCCTGTCCACTAATAGTTAAATTGAATTTTCAGTTTGTCCATTAATAAGTTAATTAAAATGCTTAAAAATATGCCACATATTTACCTATATCAACATATTGTTAGCATTAAACATCAATTAATAACCAAAATCTAAAATATTTATAAATAATTATGAAGGCGTTTTCTGCTACGCGCAACCCGATTTAATCCCTCGCCACCCTAACTCACCATGGCCACCAGGTTGGTTTTATTGTGATCGTACGCCTCAGAGGTGGCGAAACTACTGTGAATGGGACTTTTGCTACTTTCGAGATTCGGTCCCTCACATAGAAAATTAAATGTTCGTCGCTCCTCACTGCAGCCAGCAACACACTTTCTCCAATTAATTTGAGTGAGTGGAGACTTTTTCTACCTAGTGTATATATTATATCATTGTTATTAAGAGAATTATTATCTTAAATATAAATTATGTTAATACAATTATTAAATATATAATATATATATATGATAGATCTTTCGGATATATTTTAAAATTGATGACTCGCCATATCGATTGCAAACAGCTTCCTTATAACCTCGAAGCTAGCTGTACCATCGATAGTTTTTTAAGTCGAGCTTTAATAAATTATTCCTAACCGAATTTATCAATGGCAATAGTCATATACTTAGGGAGATTTTGGATTGATTATAAAATATGGTCTGAATTTGTTAACATTTAAATTTCCATATAATCGGACATTTACCGAACCCTGATACAAATGATCGCATTTACAATGTGAGTCCCATCATTTCAATACTTCAATGTTTTCTTCAAAATAACTTCTCAATCTTACTGCGGACAGCCTCCTTTTGCCACATAATACGAAATTACGTATGTATTTCCAATTATTTAAATATTAAATTTCTATTGCCGTCTCCTTTGTCAACGAAACCATCGATGGACATCCTTACTTTTGTTGTAAACGAGATATTTTTGAAATTTCATCGAATATTATAACACAGATCCGTTCGTGGTTCGGACATTTCCCCAACAAGAGCTTTTTAAATTACCTATAACCCTAGAATCAATCCCTGCCGTAATATATCTAATTGGGCAAAAATCGCAGTCGACATTTTTTATGTGGCAGGCAAGCTGAAGATCATCCATCAAGAAGTTATGTGCCTTCGTTGACATATAATTAATATTTTGAGCTAAATTTGTTTGTTCTTTAGGTTATATATTGATTGTACGGACAATTCATCTTGAAAAATTTATTGCATCCTCAGTAGAATTTTGGATGCAATAATTGTTCTATTCTCTAATTCAAATACTCTTTGTTTCAAAATCCTATTCTCATGCCTGAGCGCATTCATGCGTTCATTTTGTTTAAGGGGTTTCTGCTGATATGCCCGCACAATCCGGGAGCGCAATATTCTATCTTGTTTACGCTTCATCTGGGAGTTCGAATATAATTCGAATTCCTTAAAGCTTAAATGTTCCCTCCCTAGAAGGACTCTGTTCAATGAAAAGTTACTGCAACTACCTCATTTTCATACTAATTTATGCTTTGGTAGCTCCTTCCTTAAGTCTATTATTTGTGACTATATTCGCGTCAAATGACAGTCACAAATAAATAACTTTTTCGGTGGAGTATGTTGCACTCATTTGTAATGTCTAAACACAGCTGTTGAAGGCAATCTCATCTACGCAGAATGAAAAAGGATTTTTTTTCATCCGTTGGACATTATTCAACGCAGGATTTTCCTTTTCGTTTTCGATTTACAGGATCAATCGAATTTTCT